ATACACAAGTTATGAAAATGTGATTCGAAGTGACCATATTCATTCAATTGAATTCTTCAATGTAAAGTCGACATGAGGTCTTTTTTTTTTAGAATAAAAAGCTACAGAGACACCGTGCTAGATGACATGTTATGTCATGTTAGTGTACAAAAAATTTCTACACCCAAGTGGTGGAGTGTCAAAAATGTAAACATTAAAATTGTCAAAAGAAGCCTAATGTGCCAACCAATCTATGCATTTGGTGGCCTCCCTATAGTTGTGATCAAAGGTGATTGTCCAGTATTTTATAACAAGATCTCTAATTTTATTGATAGTAGTAGTTAGAGGATGATTTGTAGAGAACTCGTTGCATATTAACCTAAGGGCTTCGATAGAGTTAGAGTAGACATGAACTTTGTCAATCTTTTCATCCCAACAAATGCTTAGTCCTTCCAAGGTGCCCAAAAGTTCATCTCCCGTACATAGGTGAAAACCAAAATACTTGGACAAGCCTTTAATCCAATTGCCATGCTTATCTCGTATAAGTCCACTGCAGGAAGTAGCACCTTGATTATTAACTGAGTAGTCTATATCAAGTATAACTCATTCATCTTTAGGGCATAACCATTTAGCATTTGATCTATCGCCCTGTTGATTCAAAAATTTGATTTTTTAATTAAAGATATTGATCATTGAGTATATCCTGAATGCTGGTAAATGCAATGTCTTTGTCAGTATTATCTTATGTGGAATAGATGTTTTTGTATCTACCTTTCCAGATGTTCCAACATACATGGACGAACAATTTTTGCTAGGGGATCTTTCTAGAACTAGCATTGCCCACATCATAGTCAGCATTCCAAAGTATCCAGTCCTAAAGAGAGAGAGAGAAAACAATATGCTAAATTTAGATTATTTAACTAATTTTATCCAAACTTTTTTAGAATTCTTACAACCTCTCACGATATGAGTGGTTGAGTCTAAGGAGTTGCAACCAAATATAAGGTGTTTTCAAATTATAGTGACATATGTTAAAGTTGGTGTCTCAGTCATGTTCACAACATATATTCATAAATCTTCTAGTTTTTTATTAGAAACCCTCCAAAACACAAATTTAAATATCATAGAGAAATATTATCCAAATATCTATAAAGTTCAATTTAAAATCAATTTGTAATATCCCTAAGTTTGATTTATGACTCAATGAATTTTTCTAATAACAATTCATTCTTCTTTTTTATACACAATAACAACTCATTTTAGATGTTAACTAAATCTTGTTATTTTTAAATTTTTCACATCCCATGCTTATACTAGTTAATGTTAAAGAAAGATAAAGACACTAATATTACTCTTATACCTAAGGTTGATAAACCTGAATTATTTACTGAGTTCCTCCCTATTAGACTTTGTAATTCCTGTTACAAAATATTCTCTAAAATTCTAGCTACTTGCATGAAACCTTTTCTTGATACCTGTGTTTCTCAGAACCAAGGAGTATTTATCCCGGGTAAATTAATTCATGATAACATCATCATTGCACATGAGGTGTACCATTATTTGAGAAGGAAGCTCAATAGTAAGAAATTTGATTTTGCACTAAAAATGGATACAAGCAAGGCCCATGACAGGGTGAAATGGGATTTTTTGAATCAAGTTTTGCTGAAGTTTAGCTTTTGTAGACTATAGGTGCAGCTAATTATAAACTGCATTAGCTCAGTCAATTTGAACCTCTCTTTCTAGGAAAAAGTTAGCTTTGATCAAACCTGAAAGAGGTCTAAGACAAGGGGATCCCATTATCCCAATATCTTTTTATCCTAGTTTCAGAAGTTCTATCTAGTATGATTGTTAAGTATCAAGAGCCACACAGATTAAGAGCAATTAAAATGAGTTTACACTGTCTGAAAGTTACTCAGCTTTTTTTTGCTGATGACACCCTCTTCTTTATGAATGCAGAAGGGAATAGTTGTAAATTGATTGCACAGATTTTAAGGAATAATTGTGAAGCTTCTGCTCAAACTGCTAATATGGAGAAGTTTGCTCTTTTCTTCTTAGCAAATACTCCTCCAGCAGTCAAGAACTCAGTCAGCAATATGTTAGGTATAGATGCATCGAATGATCCAGGATGATATTTGGGTATCCCTAGTGTATGGGGAAAAACTAAATACCAGGCTTTATCGTATGTACGAGATCGGATGCAGAGAAAGGTTCAATGGTGGAGCCGTAGCTTCTTATCACAAGCAGGCAGAGAGATTTTGATTAAAGCAGTTATTAATGCTATTCCTACCTATGTGTTTCAAATTTCCTATCAAAATGCACAAAGAGTTTGATAGTCTTATCTCAAATTTTTGGTGGGAAGGTAACACTATAGGTAAGAAGATACACTAGATTTCTTGGCAAGACCTTAAGAGACCTAAGAATGATTGGGGCATGGGCTTCAAGGATTTTGTGAACTTCAACAACGCTCTTTCGGCTAAGACTGCTGAGGCTTATGAATAATTCTGACGAATTATGGGCTAGGGTTATTAAAGGGATTTACTTCCATCACTGTCATTTTCTTGAGGCCAAAAAGGGGTCGAAAGCTTCTTGGTGCCAGAGTAGTCTTTTGGAGGGTGGAGAGTTTTTGAGTGATAACCTGTGTTGGCATATAGGGGATGGTTGTTCTATTAAAATATGGCAAGATAATTAGATTCATACTCTTTATAGCTACAAGTTATGTATTGAGGATCCTGAGTTGAAAAAATCTAATGCACTACTGAGTACTCTTATTGAAAATGGACAGTGAAATCTCAGAGGCATTATTCACTATATTGATGAGGAGGCTGCTGCAACTATGAACTTTTGAACTCTTGCCTCCAACTCTGCTCAAGATAAGATTTGCTAGACATATGCCAAAAATGGCATCTATACAGTACAACAGGGTTATAAACATGCCATGGAGGGCTATGCTAGTGGGCAAACAAAGGTGGGATCCTCATCTCCCATATCCAGTCTTAGTTGGAAGGCCTTTTGGAAGACTAAAACGATGCGATGAATTATCCGCTTCATTTGAAGGTGCTTTTCAAATGCTTTGGCAACTAATGAAGCATTAACCAAGAGCCAACAGGCACAGGGGGCGCTCAATGTTGTGTCCTGTTCGTGAAAATATTTAATAAAATAAAGAGCAGTATTTTTTTTTTGGCAACCTTTGGCTATATAGAAGTGAAGAACATTATTTTCAACTAGAGCATTCATTTGACAACAAATAATCATATAGAAACAAAGAGGTGAAGGAACATAATTTTCCTATCTTAAATAAAACTTGAAACTTGCATATTTCATTATATACAAACTTATCAAACTTTAGAATATCAAATTAATTGCAACAGTAACTTGTTTGTCATTATCATAACTCCACCCCATGCATGTACAAGTATCTTGCAGAAAGAAAACAAAGCAATCCTCTATTGTCTATTGTCTTTTCATGTTTGCTTGTGAATAATGCAATATTATAATCATTTTGTTCAAAAAAAATGTAAAATATTTTTTGAATAGTTAAATATTAAAAAATGTAAGGTATTTTTAATATTTTAAAAGGTAATTAATATGTTTTTTTTTAAAACATCCATAATAAACAAATCATTTTAAGGACACTTTAAAGCATTCATATATTTAAAGATTAATAAGTATCCTAAATCCTAAATTATTATTTGAATAGCATCCTAGACCATGAATTCTTAAAATGAAAAAAAAACTCTCCTTAATTTGTAAATTTCAAGCAAATGATACCCCCATCATTTATCCATACAACGTTGACTGCTATATAGTCTAACTAAAATGCCACATGTCAAGAGGAGATTAGTTTCACATCAGCCTTTTGATTGAGCCTCACAAAGTTATAAGTAATAGCTGTTATATATAAATTACTAGTAGGAGTAATTTGCTATTTGAATAGTAATTTAAGGTCTAAGATACTCATTTTAAAAATTTAAAATTCAGGATACTATTTAAATAATAATTTTGGATTCAAGATACTCATTAACACTATATTTAAAATTGTCAATTGCAATAGAGTATGTGCAGCAACAATTGTTCTGCAAAGTGAATTTAATATGAGAGAAGGAATAATTGACACAAGACACTAGAATCGAGCTAATTCATTTAAGAAAATCACATCACAAATTCACAATGGCATTTCAAGGGAGACTTTTTGGATTATGAAAATATTATATGGACAAATTAATCACAACTCACAATATAACAAAATCATACTCTTCCCTTAATAGCAAATTATAACAAAATTTTTGGGACCAGAGCTAAAGGTGTATTTGATTTAAATTCAAACCTCATTTTTTTTGGGCCACAAAATCCAAAACCTCAATGGCTCCGTTTAGAATTTTAGATGGCCATGGTCTGGATTGAGATTTGACAATTGAGGTTAGCCCAGTTTAACTTTCTTTGGGAAAAATTTATATGAAGATTGACTTTTGGGTAAAACTAAAAAGTGAGATTAAACAAAATTTATTTCCTTTTATATTTATTTATAAAAACATAAACTACGTTAAAAAAATATTCAAACATATATTACATTAAATTAATTTACAAAAATACTTAAAAGTTAAATCTCGCTAAAATAAGTAACTTTTATCAAACTGCAATTTGCAAATTTCAATTTATTGAAACTCGAGTAAGTTTTAGTCCAATTATACCATGAGATCCTTGTGTGTTGTTCTGCCTAGAGAACTGAGCACCCATACCACAGCCACATTACAATATATTAGTGAAATTCAATATTAGTGCAACATGCGATGTACAATTAACAAGTAAAAACAAGTTTAACTGATAGCCTGAGCCTTAAAACAGAGGGCCTGAATAAAGCTGCTTCTGCATTCTCTCTCCCGAAGCTTCAGTTTCAACCTTCATAGTAGTCATACATTATTAATCCATAAAATTTTTATTGACAAATTAAGACAGCTTTTCTACGAGCTTATACAACACAATGATTTTGACTTGTTCGTAAATTATTTACACTACTAAGGATATTGTAGCATGAAAGTTGTTTATATTAATCGATGATTATCAGTAGAACAACCCATCATTATAATATTGATCGACTCCTTTGCAACAGAATCAAAACAAACTACCATTCCTATTTCATCATAACGAGAGCATAATATGTGATATTCTGTCAACCTATTACAAGGACCAAGCCAAAAAACTAGAAACCTTGAATACAGCTTCTACCGTCTTCTAGGGCATCACCTGCAAACTTATAAACTGCAGCAGAATATTATGAAGAGCATGAAAGCCAATCTGCGGAACTATCCTGCAACTGCAAGAATTTGCAAAAATAGCATAGCCAAATCATTAACTGTCGATGGATGCATGCAATCCCCACAAATCAGATTCCATCAACAAGCATAGTGTTAGCAGCAATGAAGTTCCCTCTAGTCCTTGAAAGTTTAAACAACGCATGAATTGTTAGATCTTATATTTCCTTGATTTGATAATTTTCAGATACTGAAACGAATTTAGGTAAGAAATTGACGTCTAAATATGAACTTTCAGATTTCTAAATTGTGAATCTTCGAAGAAGATGGGAAAGAGTTAAGAAGTTGCAAACAATATTACACATATATTATATAGTAGAATCAGAATTTGAGTATTTCTTTTTGAGCTGAACAAAAAGAAATTCTTACATACAGTCAGCAAGATTAAATGAGTCTGTTGAATCAACAGTACATATCAGAATGTAATTTGAGCTGCAAATTACTGCAATAAAGATATTCAGACATATCAGCCACCAAATGTCTAGCAATAGGACCACTAGAATGTTCCTATAATTGTTTCTCATTCTGATTATTTGAAGAGCAATTTCAAAAGTATCATAACAAAGTTAAGTCTTCTAAAGAAAACATCATATGATAGGGCGTCTTAATGGATACCAACGTGAAACGTGAAAAGGTTACCTTCAAGGATGATATGGATTTTGATTTCATAAAGGGTATTCACGAACATTACCATAGAAATATAATTCTTTTTATACCCTAACCAAGATTCACGTGGGAAGTAAGAAATATCTAATTTTCCATGACAATTTTTCAATTAGTTTCCCAAAAATGTTATTTTAGCTTCTTAACAATACTCAGTACAAAAGATCAACATTATTCGTCATCGTTATCAGACGTCTATATGCTTGCAAAGTTTTAACTCTATTTGACAAATTCCGAAGCTGCTCTGCAATTCCTAACATGAAATACACCAACACAACCATAAAGTAACCATTATAGGGTAAAAGCACAGGGTGACGATAAAATACCTGATCCTTCTAATTGGTCACCATCACTCTTGGGCCTCCTCCAAATGATCACACTACACTGACGGGAGGGAAAGCAGAGTTTCAGTGTACACACTTGCACACGCAAACGACATCGGACTACGAAAAAATTTCAGATAATCTACTACTTGCAGCTCTTCTTTGGCACTCAATTTTAGTAATCCTATAGTACTATTTCTTACAACAAGTTGATTGTCTTTGGTGAAGCATAATGGTTGAAAGAATTCGATATGGCACGGATTAGTAGATACAGTGAAAAGACGAGTCCAAGATGACTTCACTCCATATTCTTTCATCACCCACATCTTAATTACATCACTGTTCTCAGTTAGCGTTAGGCATCCTCCAACCACTCCCAAAAAACCTGAACCAACTTCATAATCATCAGGAACAGGTATCTCCCGCAAATTCTTCGCTGCTATGTCAAAAGCAATAATTGTAAAACACTCAGGTGGTGGTTGTCGTACACGCTTAGCAAACCAATGAATAGCACCGTTTAAGATCGAACCACTGGTCGGCTCATCCCATTGATAGATATATTGGCATTCATCAGCAAGTATTTCCCATGATTTGGTTTTGAGTGAGAAGAAAGCGAGGAAGTCTGACACAAGAACTAGTATGTAGTCATCAGTGGACTCATCATAAGCAAAGCCATACATATATACAAATATGTTCCGATTCAATGGCGGTATCTTTCTGCAGACACCATTGGAGGGATTCCAAATAAAAAGTTTTTGTTGTTTATCAACAACTAGTAACAGAAACCCTCGGCAAGAACCCATAATCTCGAGATCATCAGGTGTCCTGCGTCGGGGAAAATTGAGATGTACAACAGCAGAATCGTCATGAAAGGGAGCGTTGAAATCTATGGATTGAAATTGCGAATCAGCAGTCACAAGGATTCGATGGGTGCGTCCGGGGGATCGTTGAAAATGCAGTTCCGCGAAAAGAGGACTGGAGATGAGAGAGTGCCATGACTTAGAAACACACCTGAAACGCAGTAGAGATTTGACGGGCAAGCGAAGAAGGATTTCCCCAATGACTTCTTCGGGAAGGAACTTCTTGTGTTCTCGCCGTCGCCTTTTGGAAGAGTAAGCGCCCGAAAAAGAGGAAGCAGCTTTTCTGCTTCCGGAATGAAGTGAAGCTGACCGGAAAGAAGCGCTCGATCGTTTCAATCGATTCCTCCTTAAGGAAATTTGGAGAAGAAAAGATTTAGGGCTTAGAAACATAACCATGATGTAGCTAGCTCAAAGGTTCGGAAGAGAAAAGGCTCGCTTGCTTTGGAAAATGGTTCTGTTGTTGCGGGGAAGACGCATAAAATCTAGAAATGGGTTTCAATTTAGGGTTTGAAAGGGGCGGCAAACTCGAAAGAATTGGCGCGTAAGTTAAAAAAAAAAATTAATTATCTAGACTTTATAATTTTAAGACTAAAATACGTATTTAATCATTTAATTTTATACTCCCTTCATTTAAAAATATAATATATTTTTTAAAGAGTTAGATATTTAATAATATAATATATTTTTAATCTTTTAAAGTGTCACTATTATTTTTTTTAAAAATGCCCTTATTAATAATAATTTTATATTTATTGTAAGGTGTTTAATAGGGGTAAATATAAAAAAATAAAGTTAATTAAAAAGTAGTTAATTACTTTATTGGAGAGTAAGATTTAATTAAAAATGTCATATATTTTTAAACGGAGGGAGTATAAGGTTTTATTTTAATCCATTAATTTTATAAAATATTTTTTTAGTCTTTTAACATTGTTAGTTTTATTCCAATAAATTTTTATATTGATCTTTTAAATATTGATAAAACATTTTTAACTGTGGATATATTAAGTTTAATTTTTAAAAAATAATAATAATTAACACAAAAAATAATCATTTAAAACTAACGATGTTAAAATTAAATAATTAAAAAGATTCTTTATAAAATTAAAAAATTAAATTAAAATCTTATATAAAATTAAAAAATTAAAAGTATACCTTAACCTAATTTTAATTCAATTGTAGTTTAGTCTTGAATTTTAACTCATTGTAATTCCACTTTTATAATTTTAACTCAATTTTAATTTAATTTTTAAATTTTGACTCTTATAATTCAGTTTTTATAATATTAATTATTTAAATATTAATCTTTATATTTTAAAAAATAAAAGTGTGAATATTTAAATTTAATACTAATATTTTAAATTAATAAATCTTTTTAAAATGAGGTAGTTAGTTATAACTAAGTTAAGGACCTAGTTAAAATAAGTCAAAGAAATTGTAAATGAATCAAAACTCTAGGAATAATATGCTTAATTTTCACTTTACTTATCTTAGTATCGGTCCTGATTTTTGCGGCCTGCCGACATTGGCCCTTAAAAGTTGAAACTTAAATTATCTAATTTTTTTAAAAAAATTAGTATTATTTATTTATTATAATCAATAAATCAAGTTCTAAATAAAATTTAATTTTTAATTATTTTTAGTTGTCTAGTATATTTTTAATTTCAAACAGAGATAAAGGTGCATAAAGTTAATATGTAAGATTTACTTAAGTAAAAAAAAAAAAACTTTATGCATTTTGCATTGTGTAGATTTTACATCATGCGCGACACACAATAACATTAATGCTTTGTATATTGGGATGGGAACCTCTCCTTTTCCTCCTTGCAACAAGTGACCATCTCGGTAAAAATTAGAGCTAGGATATAAGTGGGCTCAATTTTTATGAGTTTAGTTTTTATGAGCTTGATTTATAAGGACTTGACTCTTTAAATTTGATTTTTTATTTTTTATTTTTTTTAGATTTGACTTTTATTTAAAAGGTTTAGAATCAAACTCGCAAGTCTTATTTTAAATAAAATTAAGTATTATAAATTAATTAAAATATTTTAAAATTTAAAAAAATAAAATTCTCATAATTTTTAGAAATTAAACAACACACATTTAGAAGTATAATAATAAAATTCAAATTTTGGTTAAAAAATAATTTATTTTTTATAAATACACAAATATAATAATTATAAAAAAAATTAAAAAATTAAAAATTTTATATTATACATTGATATTTATTAAATTAATTTTAAAATAAATTAAAATTAATAATAATATAATACATATAGGATTAATATTTCGAGCAAGCAAACCCTTATTGATTTCAAATGTGTATTTCACCAGAAAAAAATAGTAATAGTAACATAATAGGATTTGAAGAACCGCTCGAGTTCAAATCTCTTTTTACCAAATTTATTCAAACCAAGCCTTTAAATTTCATTATTTAAAAAAAATAATTTTTAAAATTTGAATTTTTATTTCCATCTTTAGTAAAAATTAGGCCCATTCATTTCTTTTCAATGGCCACTGCTTTCTTTCGCAGTTACAGATCTGAAAAAATTGTGGAGTAGCAACAAAATGCAACAAAATTTGTACTTAAATAATTTACACCTCAGAATAAAGTAAACAATGATACCCTTCTGTCCCTATCGCAAAGCACTTTTCAAAAGGAGCTTTTGGTTCTTATATTAAGGTACATAGAAAGTTATTAATTACTATTTTCCAATTTTATTTCCTTTGTAAATTAATTTCTATAACTCATTGTTTACTGTATATTTTTTTATTTTTATTTTTAATGGGAGTAAAATTGAAAAAATCACTCAAATCTCGCACAAGTAAACTAAATATAGAAAAGTCTAATATAATTAGAAAATTTTATTATATTCAAATTGCTTTGGAGTTGATATTTCAAGCCAAGTTAATAAATCAACCTAAATAAATTTAAAAAATTTTAGGTATGAGCATAAAAAAATAATATATTTTTAATGTTTAGGCCTGTTTAAATAGGCCAGAGTAGGTTGGTAAAAATTTTGGCCTAACTCAATTGGATTAGTCGAATAACATTTTATTTTTTTAAGAAAGTATATATAATATATTAAATATAAATTAATCATTTATACATGTATTTATACTTATAAAATTGGCAAATTGATCTCAATACTATAAAAAAAATTATTTACTCATATACTACACTTATAAATCTGAAACTTGAATTGTGTCATACTAAGATCGAAACATTTTTTTAGTATAAAAGTACAAAATTTGGTCTCTATCAGACCGAGTTCATGCTCATGAAGGAGGAAAAAAAAACCTCAGTCTCTATCAAACTGAGCTGTAAAATTTGCTAGAGAATTATATTAAATTTTATTGGCACTACGTGTACTGCTCGGTCTAACAGAGATCGAGTTTTGTACTTTTATATTAAAAAAATATTTCAATTTCAATATGATATAAGCCAAGTTTTAAATTTATAATATATGAAAAAAATACTTTTAAAAGTATAGTATATGAGTAAATTTTTTTTTTTTGTAGTATCGAAATTATTTGCCAATAAAATTTTATTTAATTCTCTAGCAAAGTTTAATCGATTATCAATACCAATGCCAGAGAGGTATCAGTGTGCGTATGCTAGACAACTCATGAATCCTCTGATTATCATATACAGCCTGCAGTGATTTATTTGTTTAGCTATCAGAAGACAACTCATGAATCTTTTGTCACTAATTTGCCAAAAGAAGATACATGAAGGAGACATGAGTTTTTCTAACATGGTCCTTAACAAGGCTAATTGAAGTCAACCAGGGCAAACGTTGTTTAGACTGTTTTTGCTGTTTAAAATTGAAGGAAACTTAATACCACTAACAGTTTTAAGATGACAATCTGTGAAGTAGAGACAAGTTAGATAAACTATTACGATGAGAAAAAAGGTTAAACGATGATGGGTCCGTTTGATTTTTCTCTATTTTACGTTCAGGAAGTAAAATTTTATTTTTAAAAAGTTAAAAATTGTTTGTATAAAATATTTTACAGAAAAGCATATTCTGAAAGTACATTCAAATAGTAATTGAAATTGAATTTTTAAAACATAACTATTTAAACTTTTAAAAAGTGAATTTGAAAAGTAAGATATTATTTGATCATACTACCCTAAGTTTAATCTATTATTTAAAAACTAGTTAATTCATTAAAAATATAATTTTTATTTTAATAATAATAATTAGATATCAATTTTTTTAGTATTATAAATTGAGAAATTAATCATGTTAATTTTTAGAATTAATGTAAAATAAAAATTATAAATCTTCATTACATCTTTTAAAAGTACAAATTAAAAAATACAAATAACTAGAAATCAAATTTTTAGCATTATAGATCAAAATTTATGTTATTTAAAATATTTATTATTATTTTTAAATATTTTAAATATATTATATTTGTAAAATAAAAATTATAAATCATTATAAATCCATATCTTTTTTTATAATTATATATTTAAAAGCACATTTCACTATCATAAATCAAATAATTTTTAATGTATTAAACTAACTTTTAAAAAAATATATTTAAATATAAATTTTATTATAATAACTGACTTTTATTAAATTAATTTTTATTAAATAAATTTTATTAAATAAATTTTTGATAAATTAAAAATCAAACGCTTTGTTGGTGATTGAAACAGGTTAATGGTAAATGAATTGAAAATATGATAAGCTAAAGATGTTCGAACAGAATTGGCAGAGTTCAATGGCAAAAAAGAGATCATATCAAAGTACACTTAGCTACTTTATTGAAGATCCATACTGACAGACTACTATAGAGGCATGCTTGAGTAGGTATGAATTACAAGTCAAGGACCAGTAATCCTATTCTACTCTTTTCAGGATATCAGATCATGATGCAGGTACCAGCATAACAGTTGCTAATGCTTTGAAATAAAATTTATGAAGAAGATGATTTTGGATTATACCCATCAAATGGCAAGTTGAAATAAAACTGAACTATGCTTCCCCACCCATGGGAGAGGATGTCTCCTCATCTCTTCTTTTCATTTTTGTTTTTAACTTTTTCTCTTCACCTTTATATCAAAATTTTTTAATGGTTCATATTTAATTTTAATGAAATTATGATTATAATTTTACACAAAATATATAAATAAAATATTATAGTTTTTCATTATTTAAATTAAAATTTAATAATTCAAATTTATTTATATATTTTTATATAAAATTAAAATAATAATTTTATCAAACATTAAATTTAAATCATTGAAATTTTAATTCAAAGTGATGAGAGAGAAACGGAGACATCCTCTCCCCTCACTGTCATCTATGCCTGGAACCAAGAGCAAGGGCAATAAATATTTACTTACATCAACTGTCTCCATCTGCTGCCAATTTATCCTTCGAGATATAATTCCCAAAACAACATTTTTTATATCCAAAGCGGCACAGATTTATATTTTTTATAATTTAAAAAAAATATTACAAA